CAAACCACAGAAAAACAGCTGATAATGGGTCGGGGTCTCAGACACAAACCCGTCACATTGCATTCACCAACACATCTGCTCCGACGTCCACTTTCAGTCACTGTGTGCCATCAAGATAATTGTATTTAGGTTTTAAACTACAATTATAATTACATTACAAATTAACCAGACTTACAGTAATTAATTATACGGCAGAATGTTTTACTGGAACAAGCCACATTAAGGACTCTGATCAAAGGTACAACTGCAGAACCCTCCATATTCCGTGTATCACATCAGCACAACAGGCTGAGGTGGACCCAACAAACAGACGGCACCGCAGGGAATTGGATCTGAGAAGCCGGTTCTAGAAGGGTCGGGATTTTCCACATGGCTGACACACAGTGATTCATAGCATACAGACCGTTAGGGTTCATAACCCTGAACTGAACACTTTTAATTAGTGTGAGCCGTTAGCTGTGGAGCGGGGCGGGGCGGGGCGGGGGGGCAGTTAAATCCCAGGCCGTAATAACACACAGTCACACTCGAATGGAGGGGAAAATTAGGGTTGAGGATCAGAAGCCATCCCCCGCAACAGGGAATTGGGAAGGTCCCAGTGCAAACCAGGCGGGGTGACTCTGGTGCAGGTTGGAAGCACGTGGGAGGTCAGCTTAGGGTTAGTACTGCCAAAAAGCTGAGTGGAGCAGTGGATCACAGGGAGCAGTGGATCACAGGAAGCAGTGAATCACAGAGAGCAGTGGATCACAGGGAGCAGTGAATCACAGAGAGCAGTGGATCACAGGGAGCATGGATCACAGGAAGCAGTGGATCACAGGGAACAGTGGATCACAGAGAGCAGTGGATCACAGGGAGCAGTGGATCACAGTAAGCAGTGGATCACAGGAAGCAGTGAATCACAGAGAGCAGTGGATCACAGAGAGCAGTGGATCACAGGGAGCAGTGGATCACAGGAAGCAGTGAATCACAGAGAGCAGAGGATCACAGAGAGCAGTGGATCACAGGGAGCAGTGGAGCACAGGGAGCAGTGGATCACAGGAAGCAGTGAATCACAGAGAGCAGTAGATCACAGAGAGCAGTGGAGCACAGGAAGCAGTGAATCACAGAGAGCAGTAGATCACAGAGAGCAGTGGAGCACAGGGAGCAGTGGATCACAGTAAGCAATGGATCACAGGAAGCAGTGAATCCCACGGAGCAAATAGTTGTATTTGTGGCAGAAAAGCACATTTATTTATGTGGACAGGGTTACCTAACTTAGGGAACACAAACCCCTAGAAATAACAGATGCTATAGATACCTTTTAAGATAAGTAAATGAGAAAATACTTTTCCTTCATTTCCAATTACCAGCTGTGATTTTGTCCTGTTGTTATTTGGGATAATTGATCACACTGAATTAAAGGGAGTTCCCTGGGGCACAGCCTTGGCTTTCTCCCGAGAGCACAAGACCTGCTGCCCGCCCATCCATCCATCCATCCATCCTTCCACCCTTCCATGGCTCCTCTCTCACCATTCTCCTGGTGCTTTGTTGAGCAATCCACCCAGTTGTGCTGATTTGCTGCCCAAATCATCTCAAACTGGTGGAAGAGGACCTTGAACTTCCAGGAGTAGGGGACGAAGGAGTAGATGTCCGGGGTGCTGTCACTGGCCCAGTCTTGGATCAGGTCTGTGTGAAGGGCGACACTTCAGAACCTCCATCCATCCATCCATCCATCCATCCATCCAAAGCCATTTTCTAAAGACGTTCCTAAAGTCTAAAGAACATCCTATGCAGGGTCGCAGGAGTCCAGACCCTATCCCAGAAGCTACAGGTGCAAAGCAGGGAATAATCCAGGATGGGACATAACCCATCTCAGGGCACACTCACCATTCACATACACTCACCATTCACACACACACACACACACACACACCATTCACATACACTCACCATTCACACACACACACACACACATACACACACACACTCACCATTCACACACACACACCATTCACATACACTCACCATTCACACACACACACACNACATACACTCACCATTCACACACACACACACACACACACACACACACACACACACTCACCATTCACACACACACACCATTCACACACACACACACCATTCCCACACAGTTTGGCACTTAGTATTCACTTCAGAACCTCTTCCAGAGAAATATAACTGTCAACATAAATGATGTGTTCCCTTAAATAAATGTTAGATTAAAAGTATAAGGATGCAGGCAGGTCCTACCTGTGAAGAAGTTCTTCTGGGCGTAGATGAAGTGGTAGGTGGCTTTATAAACCTCGATTTCGCACTGCCAGAACTGGGGCATGTTCCACACGCGGGGGTAACTGGCGTTGACATGGAACTGTAGGTGTTGGGGTGGGGGGTTGGCAGGGGTAAAAACGAGGAGTAAATATCACCCATAGGCCTGTCAACGTGTCCAATAAAGTTGCTACAAGCACTGATGGGAAGGTAAAGTCCAAATTCAGATATATCTGACATGTATCTCAGCATCTGTGTCTGGAAGGTCATGGGTTCCAATCCCACAGTCAGTGAAGTACTCATACCATTGGGCCCTTGAGCCAGACCCTTAACTGCCCCACAGACGCTGTGTGAGCTGGCTCTGTGATCCTCACATGTATGTCATTTGGACAAAAGTATCTGCTTAATAAACTGTACAGATTTTTACAATTTGCCTAAACTTCTGCTTGCATCCAAAATATTACAGTGGTAAAACCATGACATACACCATACATGCAATCACATGCATGACCACATGGCTCAAAATTACTGGGCAATTTATCCTCTACAGCCAACGAGCCGTCACAAGTTAAACAGAGCAAACCAAAACTGAATGAGCCTGAGAAGTGCAGAGCTTTGCTAGTTATGGAAGGTTCACATATCACACACATCACGACAACATAGTGAGCTGGGCCGCTGTGGCTTTTACTAAAGTTCTCATGCATGAAACGTGCAAGACTCAGGTCCAGGGAGAATGAGTTGGGTCGCATTCAGTCTGTGTCATGTGACTGGGCGAAATCTGTATCCCGTAGAGCGACAGGAAGCAGCAGGATGTCATCACACATGTGGCAGGCGGGGCGGGCTGTGATGGTGAGCGGATCTGTTGTGATGGAGGCATATGACACATAAACACCCAGCCGCTCTCTGCACAACTGGAAGGCTGTGGGTCACATCCCAAACACCGAGACCACCTGTCTGCCCGCCATGTACACAAAGACATATAAACACCCAGCTGCTCTCTGCACAACCGGAAGGCTGTGGGTCACATCCCAAACACCGAGACCACCCATGTGCACAAAGACACATAAACACCCAGCCGCTCTCTGCACAACCAGAACGCTGTGGGTCACATCCCAAACACCGAGACCACCTGTCTTCCCGCCATGTGCACAAAGACACATAAACACCCAGCCGCTCTCTGCACGACCGGAAGGCTGTGGGTCACATCCCAAACACCGAGACCACCTGTCTTCCCGCCATGTGCACAAAGACACATAAACACCCAGC